GCTAATTTTTTCTATATATTTTTAGTTGTCCAGATAGTTTCTTTCTATTTTTTTAGTAGAGACGGGGTCTCGCTCTTGCTCAGGCTGGTCCCGAACTCCCGAGCTCAAACAATCCGCCTGCCTCAGCCTCCCAGAGTGCTAGGATTACAGGCGTGAGCCACCGTGCCCAGCCTCTGGTCTTTGTTTTTAATGAATTAATTCAGTTTCATTAATGGATTACAGAGTGGATGTATGAAGGAATCCACTGTGTGCATACGTTACAGATTTCACGTGCTTGTGAGCAAAGACAAATATTGTAGAGGGGAAATGAATGAACACAATGAGGAGTCTGCAGTCTTAGGGCAGGCTCAGCCATTAGCAGAGCAACCTGGGCACACTGCCTAACCTCTGACTCTTTTTCTTTATTTGTAAATGAAATGTCTAGGTCCACTTTTGCTCTGGGAAGAAACCCTGACAAACCAAGCAACAATCTTTGAACTCCATCAATTTGTGCCTCGAATTTACTAAGGGATAATATTCTAAAGGCCACATAAACATGGAGTTTGATCAATGACCCAGTTCTACGCAAACAATTTTAAAGCAGAATTATTACTCAATGACCATTACATCATTAGCTTTCTCTACTCTTGGAGATAATTAAAGCCTTTCTTTATGGAATTTATAGCAGCTCTCTGGGCCAGAATCATTTCACATGACTCTTAAGCGTTCTGTAATCCAAACACCCCAATTCAAGGAACGTGGCTCTACTTACAGTTACGAATGTTATTCCAGTCAATTTTAGAGAAGAAAGGATGGCAGCAAAGACCTTCGAACTTCAGTCTCTCTTTCTGGCCACACAACAAACTTTGAATCAGATCAAAGAATTCGCTGCTAACTTTGGGGTCATCTGGAAACTTCAAAAACCTCTGTTTCAAAAAATAAAACAATTATTTCCTGAGCAGTGATTCTGTTTCTCATGTTCCAAAGTGAAGAAAGCGTTTCTCATATATGCAAGTTTCTTTTTTTGTTTTTTTTAAAGAAGGAAGTTTAATGCCCTGTTCACTTTGGACCAAAGGCATGTTCCCAAAATAAGTGGCCTGTTCCCATCAATAGGCCCAGTTCTTTTGCAGGGGTTCAATATCCTTCATGGCTTGACCCCTGCTCCCCTCTTCCGTCTCATCTCACTACGTTCCCCGTCTCTCTCTTTGCTGCCCAACAATTATGAGCTATTTAAAGCTCCCTGAACAAATCACGCTGTTCTCTGCCTTCCCTGGCTACCTTTTCTCCCCATCACTCCCTCCTGCACACTCCCTCTGTGCTTTGCTTTTGCACATACACAATGTACTGTGATTTCTGTGCAATGATGAAGAGAGAAGGCAGAGAGGGCCTTCTCCTTCTTGCTCATCACTGTAAACCTGCTACCTAACAGTCCTTGGCATAATGCACTGATTATAAAAGGAAGGAAATAAATTAGCCCTGAGAGTCATCTAAGGGGAAACTTTAACTCAAGAGGAGACTCAAGAATAATAACTAATATACGTACATAAAAAATATATGTATTAAGCATTCCAGAAAGATGAAAATTGGGTGAGATACAAAGACCTAGGAAATAAGTTCTCTTTTTCCTTTTGGTTGAAACTAAAAATATGCATATATTTATCAAATCCTTGAGAAATGGGCTTGGCCAGGTGCAGTGGCTCATGCCTATAATCCCAGCACTTTGGGAGACCGAGGCAGGAGGATCCCTTGAGGCCAGGAGTTGGAGATCAGCCTGAGCAACATAAGCAAGACCCATCTCTACAAAAATTAGAAAAATTAGCCAGGCATGCACCAGCTACTCAGGAAGCTGAGGCAGGAAGATCTCCTGAGCCTAGGAGCTTAAGGCTGCAGTGAGCTATGATGATGCTACTGCATTCTAACCAGGGCAACAGAGTGACTGTCTCAAAAAAAAAAAAAAAAGAAAAGAAATGGGCTACGGGCTTAATATAGTGAAAAGTAGTTATTAGAAAACAGATTAAATTTTACCATATATATAGAC